AACGTCGGTACTTGTTTCATAAGTTGGATTGGGGGATTCAATATAGATGATGGATGCAACATCAAATCATTCTAACTCAAATTGTAGTGCTTACATCAAAATATTCAGATGTTAGTCTTTCTGCCGAGTGGAATTTGTTGGTGTGTTTGTAGCATCAAGGTTATCGTAAAAAGATCCTTGCCATTGGTGGGCAAAAGTGGCGGTGGTGGTTCTAGTGGAAGTAGGTGGAAAAAAGCGGCGATTGGCCGGTATCAGCGGCGGAAGTGGTACCTAGCGATGTCAATGATAGATAATTTACAGTTTATTTAGAAATCAGCCATGTTTAACGATTTTTAAATACACTAAGTTTAAACAAGACGGTGCATTCCGAATACTTTTAAATCTTACTTTGCATTTCTTTTACTTTAGACCAAATATCAATATCTTCAAAATTCTTGCATTTGCAATACTTTACACCCTGTTTACTACAAACCAAACATCCCCCTAGTCAAATCCTGTGAATCTTGTTGGTTTCTCTGCCTTCTCGTATGTTTTGTAGCGTCAAATTCATCCCATCCATCTCTCCAGTCCCTTCTCCTCTATCTTGGCCAGTGAACTAAAAAAGAAAAACCATTTCTAACCTCTTCCGCTCTTCTTTTCTCCCTAGACTTCAGGCTCTTCGCTGAGCTCCCCAATGCACACGTTCCCTCTTTTTTTTTTTTTTTTCTCTCATTCGTTAGCTCCTAAACAAATATTGAAACACTCCTCTTTTGCCTTTGCTTTCAGTCCAACAAGCGGTCTTTAGCAGCTTGCAAATTGACTCTGATGAAGACCGACCAACTTCCTCCCAAAACCTACGCAAGCAACCCCCAATGTGCTCATCCAACCCTAGCCCCATGCGCCCTTGTTGAGATTGCACGACTTGTCTTGCAATCAAGCAGAGCTCTGCATTGGGTACCCATACCCATGTACCTACCCATGTATCCACTCATACCCAATGGTTATGGGTGGGTATGGGTACGCCCATGACTTTGTGGGTGGGTACTCAACATCGGGGGATAAATCAATTTATATTTCTAATCACTGCATATCTTATATTACGACAATCCTCACTAAGTAGTGTGGAGCACTTAAACCACGCTGTGACTGCAGTAAATTCTGATATGTTGCTTGAAAGTTTTCAATCAGAGCAAAGGGAAACGAGCCTCGAAGCCATCAGTCCGTGGCTTACTACATTAAAAAAGCATGGAAAGTGGGTGGGTGTAGGTGGGTACGACATCCCAAAAGTCACCATGGGTGGGCGAAGCCCGTCCGAGTAAAGCATGGGTACCCAATGGGTGCCCAACCAGGACCCCATGTAGGGCTTTGCAATCAAGCCCAATTCATCTTCTTTCTCACACGCCCTTTGCAGACCTTCTCACACGTTGATCTTACTCATCTCTCGACTTCTACAACTGCAACCTCAACCATTGACTTCAACATCTACTCCAATTCCCCTCGCACATCAATTGAACCCATTTGGTTTCTTTTTTTCTCTCTCATTCTCTCAAATAAAGCTTGTCTCCTACTCTTAATCGCTCACACCTTAACCAAAATACGACTACACTCCAACTCCAGTCAAACACTGCCACACTAGATGCAACCTCTCTCACAAAATCTTCGACGCAATTGTTGTCGAACTCATTCTCCTATGACCATTGCACTCTCTCTTCCCAACCTAGATGAGGGTGATGACCTTAGCCAATACTCTTCAAAGTCGTTACTCCCTTTCTCAACGCAGCCTAAACTACCGTCCAAACTTTGACAACCGTTGTCTACATCCGCTAACAACCAACCTTTAATAGAGCCACCACCTCCATTTACTTTATCTATTTCTCTTTGTATTCCATCCTCTCTCTACATTCCTCTCTCTCCATCGCTTTTTATCACTCTCTTTATATCTACTCTCTCTCAATCTTTATATTAAAAAAGAAAATTAAGAGTAAAAAAATAGAGAATAAAAAAAAGAGAAAAAAATTAATTTTTTTAAAGAAAACATTATCTATTCTCTATGCAAAATTGATGCCTTCAAGGCTTAATGTGAAAGAAAATTTTCTTCTTTTAAAGCTCTAAGCAACACTTTTCATTGCATCGTGTTTAATGTGATGATCAGAACATGTGTGTGCTTTTTTTAGTACAAAGAGAGAAACTCACTTGCGATGTAGTGGATAAGTCTTGCATGTATTTTTGTTAGCATGACGAAGAAAATTTACTATGTTGAAAATCTCTCGTGCAGATATCCCATGCATGCTGTTCTTGGCGCAGGTTTTGAAGATTTTTATTGTGGTGTCTCATGACACCGACTATACATATTTTTCTTAACGTATTGGGGTGGACTAAACTCCGCTTAGATGTCTCATACATTAAGGTGGGTTATCAAAATTTGAGCTAAATGATCACATGAAAGTCAGTTAATCGATTTGAATGCTTTATATTGAATAGGAAAAATTCAAAATAATACTAAATAAGGCTAAATGAATAGGCAAAATGCAAAATAAGATTGTATTAACATTTAAAATGTCCGTGTCACATTGAAAGAATGATATTGAACAAAATGTAGTCAAGAGAGAACATGCAAGGGATTTGAATGCTTGTCTATGAGTATATATAGAACTTTCTTATTGCTAAACTTTTTTGCACGCTAAAAATTCTCTTGAACCTCCCCAAGCAAAATGAAAACTCAAATAGACTTGAATGGTGAGAAATGATGTAGGTTACCCTTCTATTCATAGGAGGGAAAGCTGATTCATTGTGAGGCCCACATCATTAAGATACAATTATATAAAGATGAAATTATCTCATTTTAAAATGCTTAAAAATATTTTATTTGGTGAAATACATTATCGAATTTACAATTGGTAAATAGAGCTTGAAAAGAAAAGCTATGCATATTTTAAATGATAAAACACTCAGCACAAACAGTTAAATTTGAATAATTTCAGGGCTTCCACATGCTTTGTGAGGCAATGATCAACTCAAATATAACACCTTTAAAGTCATGCAAATACTTAAAAATGTGCAATTGCACCGTACAAACTTATCAAAAATCTTGCAAGTACATTGAAAGCATGCAAGTGATCATGCACATGTATTGAAAAGCGTGCAAGTGCACCATAATGTGCGTGTGTACCATGCAGACATTGAAAATGAAGCAATTGCACCATACTAATGCATTGAAAAGCATGAATATGCATCTTAAAGTTTGTAAGTGCACTTTGTAAATGTTCCCTTGAATAACACAATCCATAATTACTGGTAATGAACCTTCGATTATTGTTGACCTTGACACAGGAAAAAGAAAAGAAAAGAAAATACATGCTCAAACCTCCATACCTTATATCCTACTGAAAGCCTATGTAAATCCAGCAGATATTCCTACAAATCGACGCTGTTTGCGTCGCAAGATTTCTGCTCGAATCTTGCATCGTTCATTTGCCCTCGCTATTAAGACAACAACCAATGAAGTCTTCAGCTTCCGTTGTTCAATCTCATGCAAGCAAGCCTTGATCTCACTTCCTCTGCTACTTGAGCACTCGATCAGCTCATCCGTGCCTTCAAACGAGCAGCTCCTGTCGACAGAACCTGCTAAACTCCAACTACTATGGCGATCACAAGCTTCTTCCTTAGATCTTCCTCATTGTGTCTGCACAGCTCTTCGAATTCACGCATGCTTGCTTCTAAACGCCTCCTCCAACTGCCGTCGACTTCCTCACTCTCTCGTATCCATCTCTGACTTCGGCCCTCACCAACTACAAGCCGACCAAGGCCCTCACCAACAACAAATCCCGATTCTCCCGTTGGTTCTAACCATAGCTGCTCCTCCATTCGTCGAATCCACCTCCTCTGCTTGACACTAGGGGTGCAAACGAGTCGAGTCGAGCTCGAGTTAGGGAGTGTTCGAGTCGAGCTCAACTGTCAAATATCGAGCTCGAGCTTGACTCAAGTCGATCTCAAAAATTGAGCTTGAGCTCGACTAGTTCCACCGCAAACGAGTTCGAGCTGCTCGTTGAGCCACCGACGCGGTCCTAAAAAAATTTATTCAGGGTATTTTTGGGTTTGCTGCTAGCGGGAGGAAGGGAGAGGGAGATATAGTATTGAGTTGATTTTTTGGGTTTGCTGTTAGCATTTATTATTCGATGGTTGGGGTTGTCAGAGAAGAGAGAGAGAGAGAGGGGCTGCCCATTGAGATTTGAAATACACACGTGGGGGATTTAAAATACATGTGGGTGGCAAGGATTATTATTATAATATTTTAAATATTTAAATTTAATAACTTCGAGCTGCCTCGCGAGTCGAGCCTCGTCAAGCTCGAACTCGAGCTCGTGGCTCGATAAGCTCGGCTCGCGAGCTCAAGCTGGCTCACTAGATAATAAGCATTCAACATTTAGCCCTAGTAGAAAGTTTTTTCTCTTCGTTGAGAAGGGTAATTAATAATAAGGAAACCTAAAACTAGATAATAAAGCTAACAAAAAAAAGAGCAAAATCTCTTTGTAGTGTCTTATAATTTAATTCGTTTTTTTTAAAATTTGACCTGAAATGCAAAATCTCTCTCGCAAGAGTCGAATATCCTAAAAAGCCAAATTTGAGAGAACTTCATCGGAACTCCCCATATTATTGAGGCGTGATACCTAATTAGTAACGTTCTCTGTTTAGGACAAGAATTCACTATTTTCTTATTTCCGAGATACTACTATTCACTGCACCACTACCACATTACTGCAACAATGCGTTCTTGAAGGGATCTCCTTTACAGATTCGACAAATCTTTGCCTCCATACCAAGATTGTATAAATCAATGTTCAATCTCAAGTATTTTATATGGCACTTCATACTGTCTGTTGCCTTGATATTTCTTTTTTTATCTGCATTTAAGCCTACAAATTGAATTGATTGAGTTATTTCCTTTAATTATTATTTGAATGCATGAACCACCTGTTAATATGATAATGCTCTACGGTCTGCTGTATATGCTTTTTTTGCAGACAAGGAATGTTGATACCAAACAGTTCCTGGGTGAACTTCCACCATTTGTTTCTCCGATAATTGAAAAAATTTCATCATTTCAAGGCATAAGTGAGAACGAAGGCCAACTGGTTGATCAACTGACGGTATGCATAATTTATGAAACCTCATTCAGTTCAGCCACTAAAATTGGCTTTTTTAATAAAAAAACTTGAAATACATTGCTGGATGGGAAAATAAACACAAAGAAAACTTTAAACAATATCTTAAAAAAATTAAATCATCATATGTAAATTAGAAGATTTGCAAAACGGTAACAACTATGCCAGACTTGCTTTTTGATGATTTTGTTATAGGCTATGTTATGAACCGACCCAAGTACTTGAAATATCAAGTTGGGAACTGTTCGTTAGACGCTAACTAATTTTTTTCAGTTAAAAAATGGCAAACCAACAAAAGTTCCATAAAAATTGCAAAGAACCACTAAACACCAGCTACAAATCAATCATAAACAAATCAGCTTTATTCTATATATCTTAAAATAATTGTGTTGGACCTGATGAGCTTGGTGAGATAACTAGGATTTTGATGATCACAAACATTGATTGTTGTGATGATTAAACTAATGAATTTGTGTGTAGGTCTCTTTTTGTTTTATCTAATTTTTAAATAAATATTAGATCATACACTAGATGACAATTATAAAAGTACATCCCAGCAAGGTTATGTTATGTGTGGAATCTGATTGTGTTGATTAATCGGGTTGTTATGTTGTCTCGTACGTCAAGTTTGTTGTGCTTGCTGGGGGGTGTGGGGGGTTTACCCTCTGCTTGGGTTCTGGTGTACCTGAGCACCCTGGTACCCCGACGCTACGTACTCGAGCACCCCAGCGGTGTGTTCCTGAACGCTCTAGCGCTGAACGATAGAGAGCAGAGCGCCACATCGGTATTAATACGGTGTTGCTGCGGATCAAGACATAGGTTCAAGCGCCACAACACTACAAACTGGCGCCGTAGCACTGCAAGACAATCTGGACGGTTTTCTTTCTCATTTATCTGAAGGGTTGTGCCCACTGGGGTTATTTTACTTGGCTTTTTCTTGTATTTTGGTAGGTTAGACATTGAGAATGGTGCATACGAGAAGAGAAGCAAGAAGACAGTGAGATAGAAGAGAGATCAATACTTATTTCTCCCACTTTTCATTGTGGATTTCTTGGTGTGTTATAGATTCGTTGTTTTTTTTCCTATTTTGGATTTTTCCACGTTGATGTGGGCTCCGAAAATTCGGCCCCGGCCTCCCCGTCGCTCTTTTCTTTTTATTTGAGCGAGGGGAGTTTTAACAGAATAAGTTCCGGGGTAAATTTTGGAAGGCAGATGGGTTTGTAGATAAGACACTACCCATAGATTTAGCCCTCATTTTGTGAGGACTTTATGATCTGAGTTCTGGTTTACTATAGGTGCAAGCCCCTATAGTTAATTACCCCTCTCGATCACGAGAGAAAACTTTCGATTAAGGCTAGTC